GATATATATATATATATATATATATATATATATATATATATATATATATATATATATATATATATATATATATATATATATATATATATATATATATATATATATATATATATATATATAATTAGGAGTATAGGATACTCAAATGTACTTCAATTCAAGCATTCCCATTTCGTGACAAATATGTAAAAATTGTTTTTCATCAAGAGGTTTTGTAAAAATGTTGGCATGTTGATCAAGTGTATTCACATACTCAATTTGAATATCACCTTTTGCAACATGATCACGAATAAAGTGATGTCTTATTTCTATATGCTTAGTTCTAGAATGCAACACGGGATTTTTGGAAATATTTATAGCACTAGAATTGTCACAAAAGATAGGTACTTTTGAAAATTTTATGTTAAAGTCACCAAGTGTTTGCATCATCCATAAAATTTGAGCAACAGAACTACCCATAGCAACATGTTCCGCTTCGGCGGTGGATAGGGCGACGAAGTGTTGTTTCTTAGATGACCAAGAAACTAGTGCATGACCTACGAATTGACATGTGCCACTTGTACTTTTCCGATCAATGCGACACCCTCCAAAGTCCGCATCACTAAAACCTATCAAGCTTAAATTTGTATTCTTGGGATACCATAAACCCATATTGGTTGTTCCCTTGACATATCGAATTATTCGCTTGACAATGTTTAGATGTGATACTTTGGGTGATGGTTGGAAACGTGCACAAAGGCAAATGGAAAACATTATATCGGAGCTAGATCTAGTCAAGAAAAGCAAACTTCCAATCATACATCGATATACCTTTTCACTTACAGGTTTTCCGCTTTCGTCACTATCAAGCTTCAAGGATGTGCTCATTGGAGTTGGGTATGTCTTTGAGTCTTCAAGGTTGGATTTCTATTCTTGACTAGTTCTTTGGCATACTTGGTTTGGCTAATAAATATATCATTTTCAAGTTGCTTAATTTGAAGTCCAAGAAAGAAATCCAACTCACCCATCATGCTCATTTCAAATTAACTTGTCATAATTCCTGAAAATTTATTACATAAGGCTTCATTAGTTGACCCAAAAATGATATCATAAACATAAATTTGCACAATGATAAAAAATTTTCCTTTTGTTTTGACAAAAAGTGTGGAATTGATATTTCCTTTTGCAAATCCATGTGAGATGAGATGTTCGGTAAGTCGCTCATACGAAGCTCTAGGAGCTTGTTTGAGTCTATAAAGGGCCTTATGAAGTTTAAAAACATAATTTGGAAAATCAGGATTTTCAAAGCCGGGAGGTTGTTCAACGTAAACTTCTTCTTTCAACCACCCATTTAGAAAAGCACTTTTCACATCCATTTTAAAGAGTTTGAAGTCAAGGGCACTTGCAAAAGCTAATAACATGCGAATAGATTCAAGCCTATCAACCAGAGCAAAAGTTTCATCATAGTCAAGTCCTTCAAATTGGCTATAGGCTTTAGCAACAAGTCGACTTTTATTGGTGATCATAATACCATTTTCATCAAGCTTGTTTCTAAAGACCCATTTGGTGCCCACAACAGGTCGATTTTCCGGGCTTTTGACTAGTTCCCAAATCTTGTTACGTTCAAATTGCTCTAGCTCTAGTTGCATGGATATAATCCAATCACTATCTTTTAGTGCATCTTCTACGTTCTTAGGTTCAAATTGACTAACGAACGCATAGTGTGCACAAAGATTGTAATTTTTCCTAGTTCTAACTCCCTTTTCAATATCTCCGATGATAATATCTCTTGGATGATTCTCCAAGTGCTTGTATGCCTTTCAAAGTTTCTTTTCTTCATTATCTTCTTCTTGTGCAAGAATTTCCTGGGATTCTTTCTTCTCTTCTCCTTCATTGGAACCTGCAATTACGTTACTCGACCCGAAGGGATCGGTCTCATCAAATTTTACATGCATAAAATCTTCTACTTTATTATTTGATATATTATATACCCTATAGGCTCTACTATTTGTTGAATATCCAATGAAGATTCCTTCATCTGATTTGGGCTGAAATTTGCCTAAGTGATCCTTGGTATTCAAGATATAACATTTTTAACCAAAAAACTTTGAAGTAGGCAGTGTTTGGTTTTCTACCTTTCCAAAGTTCATAAGGGGTTTTTCTTATAATAGGTCTAAGTAATACCCAGTTTAGAACGTAGCATGCTGTGTTGAATGCTTCTCCCCAAAAGTATTGAGGCAAATTATGCTCATTTAGCATGGTCCTTGACATTTCTTGCAACGTCGTATTCTTCCTCTCAACAACTCCATTTTGTTGAT